CTTCGGCTACCCAAAAACCTCCATCAGTAGACATTGCATATAATTTATCCTGTCCATTTCGTTTTAATCTGATAAAATATGACCTCTTATGGTATTATTTACTGTCATGAGTATTCATCACAAACTCCTGATTCAAGCGTTCCTAGTAAACTTGAAGAAAAGCATAGTTGTGGGCGACAGCATATCCTAGTACATAAGACAACTGTTCCTAAGTTATGTCATTGGGTTTGTTAAAATGTACTCTTGGACATTTTTTACAACTGGGATTCAACTAAATGTTGTGCATTCCTCAAAGACGACAAAGAACAGATATCATTGATGAATTGGTTTGAGCTTCGTGTCAAACAAGTGTTACTGTGTCACAGGACCTTCTGCTAATTAATATTTTCCCTGAAAATTCTGTACATTTTGAAACACTGTACAGAATAAAGCAATTATTACTCTTATTAGTAGTATTTCGTATTGTAACAAGAGAAGATAAGGGCCAGACAACAGACCGTTTAGTGGGAAAATCACGAGGTATCTATAGATTTTTATGTGTATTATTTAGCAGCGTTATTGTTAGCGGAGAAGCAACCTCTTCTGAATGGTTGTTTTCTTGATGAAGATTATTCTGTCATATGTTTGTGGCCGTTTCTTCGAAAATTAAACGATATATCTGTGAATCGTATTTGCACACGTTAAGTCTGCTCTGACTGGTTGGTGAGTTCTTCGAGGTTAAACTTTGTTGTTGTTTTTTCTCATGACCCTGATTTGGAACGTAAACATTGATGTAAATTGTTGTCTACAATTTTTATCTTGCAGACAGCTCTCACAACAATATTACATGTAAGTATAAAACTTGGGCACTTTGGTAGAGTATAAGTCTATTATGGATAATATTTTATTTTGATAAGTCATACAATGTCACACGGTAATATTAACTGATGACCACGTTTCGAGCACAAATTATTTACTGCTCATAATCATATCAAGGTACTATTCACACAACTGTTTTCTTCATTTATATATGTGTGGAATCGACTATATATTTAAATAAAAAGCAATCTAGGATATTATACATTCAGAAATAATTATATGAGTGTTATTGATCAATTACAGTCAGACGGGAAATAAGACGAGTGTTTTTGTACTCAAAATAAGTAACTTATTAGAATGCTGTGATATGCTTGAATTGGAATAGAATTTTAAGACTATTTATTATCCTCCTCTGATTTGACTGGCAGTAATAATATCTTCCATATTTCTGGTATTTGCATTGAGTCATTTCTGCTGCATGTGTTGGGTGTAGACTCAATGAACCAGGATTCTGCAATCAATCTTTCTCTCCACCTACATAGATTACTTCCTAGAATCTTAACCCTCCGCCACCCTTTTGTATGGCTGTGTGTCAGTGCATGTAGTGCAGTTGCTGAGCATTTTTCTAAATTACTTACGTTCCGACAACCTGATTACCTCTGACCTGCTAGATTGACAATAGGTGACATGGCTCAAAATCGTTGTCAATGGCGCAGATGTATTCAGTCTCTGTAATCTTTCATATTCCTTCCTACCATTACCCATTCTGTTTCACTCTTATACTTGTCAAACTCTATTGATTCTCTCCACTCATCTTCTTGTCTACCTCTGTGTGCTATTTGGAACGTGGCAACTCGAACTACTGCACTTCGGTGCCAAGTTCTATGTTGAATCCAGACAGACAGACAGTTTGATCTATATAATAGTTGACCTCACAGTCACTGCAAGGTATTTTGTAAGTTATATTATTTTGTCTAAATGGGTCGACCGACAGGGTCCTTTAACCTACAGAGCTTGTCTCTGAGTGAGTTTTTACGTTTGAGTGCCACTCTAATTTCTGTTTTATTCAGAATCCTACGTAGGGTCTCAGTTGTCCCTTCCTTATATGGTTTAACAGTAGATGCCCTATATTCTCTCTTATTTGCGTTATCATTACTAGTTTCACAATTATCATAGTTTGCTCTTAGCCTTTTCTGATCTTCCTAATGAATTTTATAGGATAGTTATTCAACACCAACGCCTCTTCTCTCTGCTTTATTTCATCATTTGGGTCTTTTGTTGTACTACTTAGGGCAACTGCTCGGTTTGTTAGACAGACACTTAACTAAGCGTGCCTTCACAGACAGATAACGGATGAGACGAATTAAAGTCTAAGTAATATCTATTAGAATGCGTTGGTGTTTTATAAACACTTTAGCGCGCAGTTTACCTTCTTCTATTCGTTTTATTTTACAATCTAAAATTATTGCTAATTCTCCTTGTTCATATTCCGATTCGAATGTGAATTTTACATACTTAAAGGAAGATGTTATGTATGATTGGCTGTTTAAATGCTTGTTTTATCGATTTTTTTACACGCATTGGAATATCTGATTTATGGCGTCTGTTATATATGTGGCACAAAAACACCTTACGATTATTTTTATTTTTCTATTGAACAAATTCTATTTTTTTTTTTTGATTTACAGCTTGATTCCACACTATATTTTCGGTACAAGTATGTAGTTTTCACCATGGATATCGGGAGCCCAAATTTTGCAGACCGACCATAGATATCAGGTGTGCGTCGGCAGGGGATCGAACTTCGGGTCATGTGCATGGTCGGCGAGAGTCCTAACCACTGTGCCACCGACGCACAGAAATTATAATAGTCTAAATAGCTTTAAACGTGGTCTAGTCAAGACTCTGCACTATAGATCGAGGAGAATATGCTCTATAGAGAAATTAGAGGAGGAGTTTGAGTTCCTTGAAAAGATATCGAAGAGCAATGGGTACCCTCAAAGGTTCATCAACAAGTATCGAAGATCTGAAGTCACAAATGTAAAACAAATCACAGTGGGTAAAGAGACAATCTACTTTCAGCTTGATTATGAAGGTGAAAACATTGCAGCGATGATCAACAGAAGGCTGAGTACATGACTAGCCATAGCCTATCCTGAAGCTAAGCTCGTTCCCGTCTATCGAACAACTTGCTCTTTGGATCAATCAAAAATCGATAGATATCCTTCTCATGTTAACTCCAACTGTGTGTATACAAATTTACATGTATCTGCGGTAGCAGTTACATTGGGAGGACAGAAAGAAGAAGGGCATACCTACGATTTCCTGAACATATACCAAAAAGCTTACGTCTAAAGGGAACAAATGCTTCAAACAGTACGATCGCAAGATATCTCCTTGACACAGGTCATGAGGTCGACGTTGCAAGATCGTTCAAAATTATGAATAGGCAAAAGAGCTCAATTCTCCTTAAGTTTGCTGAAGCAATTTCAATCAAGCGCCTGAAACCTGCGTCCAGAAAGAAGCCGTTATAAGTCTTTCTTTACCCTAGTAACTGGATATTTTCACCTCTCTTTCTTCCGAATGCGAAACGCTAAAAGTTTCCATTGTGTATGATTATTATTTTTCGGAATAGTGTTTAATATTGCATATTTATATATGTATATATTTTTAGTGTATGCGTATATTGATCGATTGGTTTTTTGTTTAATATGAACTCTGTGCAAGCATGTCAAAATTGTTGTTGTAGATATATTTGATAATGTCTTTGCCATGTAAGCAGCTGACGAGAAGGCAACGAAATAAATAATGATGGTACCACTTTATTCTGCTAAAACTGTAGTTCTTGCTTTGTTCAAATTCATTAAGGGGAATAAATGTATGAAATTATAATAGTCTATAGTCAAAAAAAAACGAAAAGAAAAAGTACAAATGTTTCACAATTGTTCCATTGAACATTTAATAGAATATTTAGAACAGAAATGAAAACAAACAAACTACACATAAATGTACTAAACTATAAAAGACTTGATTTTAGTTCATAGTGAAATGCTGAGAAGTAGAAATCTATCATTTGAAAGTATGTGATAATGATTATAGGAATAAAAATTTCGACAAAAAACAAAGACTAATGGGATAAACATGAGTAAGACTCAATAATTAAGTATCATTCTTTCTCTCTCTCCTTGTTTTCATATTTTACCTTGTACTAATTCCGTAGAAGTCAAATTATACAATCATCCCTTTATAATGAGGGATAATATTGGAAAAAGTTAAAATTTAGACGAAAAAAGAAGAGTAAGAAAGAATCAAATCAAGTACTTTGGTTATTATTGCTGTTGAGAAATAATTGCTAACTTCAGCCGAACCCTCTGCATGAGTCGTTCAGTGGGAGAATGCTCGCCATCAACTGCTTCACGCCACCCCACCCCCCAAAAAAGAGGGAAGGTTACTCGTGAGTGGAGGTTAGTACCTCCACTTAAAAGCTAAACCTTGAGACCCTCTACTGTATATGAAAATTCGTACGAATGAGTCTAGACACTGCTAAACGAAACTGGAAGTTATTTGAACAATAAGTTGAAGAACGAGTATCCTATTTTAGTAAATTTTTGCACTTTTCTAAACACGCTGTTTTCCTTTTCGCCTCAATATATCTTTTTCTAAATGTGATTGGTTGGATCAAGATTCTATTTGGTGTGCTCATTCAGTTAGGGTCTTATATGTTAACATCAAAGATATTTTCAGCAATGTTATTGGAGGAGATCGCATGATGAGGGCGGTTGTGGAGCTAAATAAGAAAGTCAACAGAGAATAGAATACTACAGATGAGCTACACTGAAATGTTATGCTCCAACTGGAACTTAAGGATACATATAATACTGAAAAGAAAATTGGATTTTGTAATGCATCAAACAACAATACATATATGTACAATGTCAAGCTGAAGTGTATGGACTGGAAGGGAGTAGATTGTGAGGTGGGGTGGTTATAAGCATGTATATATGTGTGAATTCAATCGATTTTTCGTGAGTTTCTGTGACGATGATGATGATGAGAATGGTGATGATACGAAGGTCCATATAATAAAGGCCATACAAATATAGTAGCATAACAGATGAACGTTATTAGCACAAATGTAATGAACAATAGACGATCTGTTATCTTTGCAATTAATTTCCATTCATATTTAATTAATTCATGTCTCACCTTTTTTGATCTCTTACTTTATCATTATGATTATTTTCTTCATCATTATTACTAGAAGTAATAGTTTTAGAATAATTAATACCAGAAGGAGTAACTGGTATGTCTCTGTGTACATCGATATCTGTACTCAGTAGCTCCGTAGAATCACGTATTATAGACAATGGTAGATAGTTCTGTAATTTATTGACATCTCTTTGTGATGACGTTAGAAATGATGATTCAAGGAGTGAAGCTGATATGGTTTGAGGTGAAGGGATGCGGTGATTCATTGCCTCTTCAACAAGAACATCTTGATCATTGTAAATTGAATCTAATGAATGTAATGGTGATGTTTTTTTCTTCAACTGATTCGATCCATTGATGATAAAGCTTGAGACACACAAATAATCTTGATAGATAGATTGAATTTCTTTAGTCAACTGTTCATTTTTAGTAAGAAGTTGATTCAATTCACAAAGTGCTGAAATTTGACCATTAATTTTTGCTAATTTATTCTCTTGACTAGTAGCAGTGGACATAGAAAGTTTTTCAATCTAAAAGTGAGAGTTTAAATTTTTATTTTTGAATAAATAAAAAACAAAAACAACAAACAGATTATGTATATATACGAGTTTGACCACGAATTAAAATCAGTTAGAGAAAGAGAGAGGGAGAGAGAGAACCATTGAAAACCAGCAACAGCGAGTACTGGAGAGCCAGCTGTTTCATCAGCCTAGTTTGGGAATCATCGGAAGTACGCACCCACTGCCAGGGTTCTAACCCAGGACATTCCTGTTACAAGGCAAGCTAGCTCGTATACCATTCAGCCACTGAGACCCAATCCCATGGGCAGTCTGTGAATTCTAACTTCTACCAATTCGTGATATTTAGCACTACCACCAACTAGTTTTATCGGCGGGAACTCCATCCTCACATTTGACTGGATGGACTTCATTAGCCACGACTTCTCAAAAGAACTCCAAGCAACTCTCTCCAGTAACAAGTCACTAGCGAGTATCAGATTAACTTTCAAGAGTTTGGTTTGTAAGGATTAGATTTATTTATACGAATTTGATCAGGGATCAATATCGCCTTGTAACCGGAAGATCTTGGGTTCGAACCCCACGGTGTGGTTGCGTGCTGCCGATGATTCTCAAACTAGGCTGATGAAACAACTGGCTGTCCAGTGCTCGCAGATGGTTTTCAATGGTTCTCTAACTGATATTAATCCATGGTCGAACTCGTATAAAAAATCTAGTCCTTTAGAAAACAGAAAGATTGAGCGAAGAAATATTTACTTTTCAATTAGATCCTCATCTCACTCTGGGTCTACTCCAACATATGATGTATAGCATTTTTATTACAATACACAACAGTTTACCAATCAAGTGGCGATATGCTTGTTAACAATAATTAGTCAGTGTCAAAATGTCAATGGGGTGATAATTAACGAAGAAAACTAATTTATATGATTAAAAGGTGGAAATGGTTACAACAAGTGGATTGCATAATGTATAATATAGGAAAAATGAAGAGCAATTAAGGAGTAAGCGTGTACACAGGTTGATTACGTAACAGATTGTGAAAGAAAATAAAACAATTTGGAGAATGATAATTTGTAACTAAGGTTGAAGTGGTCATAAGAATAAAATAATTTTTACAAGGATAACACGTAATTAAAGATGAAGTAGTCAGAAAAATAAAACAACTTGGACAATTATAGTTTTTATAGTTTTTTAAAAGGAAAAAAATATTTTAGGGGGAGGGGGATGAAGCAGTCCGGTTTATACAGTCATGTAACGATGGCCAAGGTAAGGAAATTGGCTACTTGTACTAATCTTAATTTTGCTTTACCAGTTCGTCTTCTACATATAGCTGAAGCCGTAGGAATCCACCCGAAGAAGCCAAACTTGTGTGTTCAGAAGAAATTTGTACAGCCAATTTCCTTACCCTGGCCATCGTTACATGAATGTATAAACCGGACTACTTCGCCTCTCCTTTCGCCAAAAGCCAGGTGAAAACGCTGGCAGAGAACCGAACGCAATGGAGATGTCCGGCTGAAGCCCTATGTTTCTCTAGGAACTAAAGGAAACAATAATAACAATAAAGTGAGCACCAATATTACAAAGTAAATGATTATGAATGACAACGAATGTACAGCAATAAATTCTCATAAGTCTCATGTTCATGTTAAATTCCATTCATATTGATCATAAATTTCATATGGATGAATGGTCATGTCAAGGATGGGGGGTAGAGAAAAAGGGTGTTTTGCGGTTGAAATTTAGCTGCGTTGTATGTGTGTCAGTGTGTTAGTTATTTGCAATTAGATTGTTAATAGATCATAATGCCTTGTTCAAATTTATCAAAGGGACTAATTGTTTTAAAGATCATAGTCCAAAATATATTGTGTGTATGTGGTATTATGAATTGTTGTTAACGTACACACTGACACACATACAACGCAGCTAAATTTCAACCGCAAAACACCCTTTTTCTCTACCCCGCCGTCCTTGACATGACCATTCATCCATATGAAATTTATGATCAATATGAATGGAATTTAACATGAACATGAGACTTATGAGAATTTATTGCTGTACATTCGTTGTCATTTATAATCATTTACTTTGTAATATTGGTGCTCACTTTATTGTTATTATTGTTTCCTTTAGTTCCTAGAGAAACATAGGGCTTCAGCCGGACGTCTCAGTTGTGTTCGGTTCTCTGCCAGCGTTTTCACCTGGCTCCACATCTGCCCATATGCTAACATCTCCTCTTCACATAACCTCCTTCTCCATGTCACTGCAGCCTCGCGCTGATGACCAGCTCGCCGCTTCCCGTTTGGGTTCCAATCGAGTGATGGCCTGTCTTGTGATATCACTCACTTGGTGGTTTGTTTTCTCCAATCCACCTCCATTTTTTCCTGCATATTTGTTGCACAATAGGTCCATCCTGAGTTGGTTCACTCATTGCCAGAGATCCCTGTTACTGATCTCTTCTGCCTAGACATCTGATCTTCAGTGAAGACAGCTGTTGATGAATGTCTGTAGTTTGTTGTTTGAGGTGCTCTTCATGACGCGCCAAGTCTCTGATCCATAAAGTAGCACTGACTTCACGTTGGAATTGAAAATCAGGATCTTATTTTTAATGCTGAGTACTGTTGACTTCCACATAGACTTGAGAGAAATGAAAGCTTGCCTTGCCTTCCCAATCCTCGCTTTGATATCCTCGTCAGTTCTGTCCGCCTGTAGTTGAAACGACTCTTCTTAGATCGGTAGGTAAATGAGGTTGTTTCTTTGAGGTTCCTCCTATTTATGCTGATTGTTTTCTGTTGTTGTTGCTGTTGCCGTTGACCAGGAATCGTCACCTCTGTTTTTTCTGTGTTCACATAAACGCTTATCTTTGACGCTTCTTCTGTAAACTTGTTGCTTTCCACTTGCACTGTTCAGTTTAGTATCACAATTTTACATATTACCACACACACACATACACACAATATATTTTTTTGGACTATAATCTATTAACAATCTAATTGCAAATAACTTTTGGAATTCACTTCTAAATGATTCGATGTTACTCTTTTTGAAAAAGAACCACTTACGTTGTCAATAACGATCATTCTGTCATTATAACGGATGAGACGAATTAAAGTCTAAATAATATCTATTAGAATGCATTGGTGTTTTATAAACACTTTAGTGTGCAGTTTACCTTCTTCTATTCGTTTTATTTTACAATCTAAAATTATTGCTAATTCTCCTTGTTCATTTTCCGATTCAAATGTGAATTTTACATACTTAAAGGAAGATGTTATGTATGATTGGCTGTTTAAATGCTTGTTTTATCGATTTTTTTACACGCATTGGAATATCTGATTTATGGCGTCTGTTATATATGTGGGCACAAAAACACCTTACGATTATTTTTATTTTTCTATTGAACAAATTCTATTTTTTTTTTTGATTTACAGCTTGATTCCACACTGTATTTTCGGTACAAGTATGTAATTTTCAGCATGGATATCGGTAGCCCAAATTTTGCAGGCCGACCATAGATATCATGTGTGCGTCAGCAGGGGATCGAACCTCGGACCATGTGCATGGTCGGCGAGAGTCCTAACCACTGTGCCACCGACGCAGATCTTTGTAGAGTTATATGTTGAAATCAATCAATCAGTCAGTCAGTCAGTCAGTCACATGTTATTTGGTAAATTATATTAATTTTCTTAATCGGACCTATCGGAGCCTGAAGCTGACAAAGTTTACCTCTGATAATATTTGGCTGGTTTATTAAATGACACCTTAATTCTAGCCTCAATAAGAATCCTACATAGGACAACTGAGGAACCATCTTCATACAGCAGTAGTACATGTCCTTTGGACTTTGCATTATTTTCAATGATTAAAGATAACCATTTTGAAACTTCAAAAGGTTGATTGTTGAATAAAGAATATTCTTTTCGATAACATCATTCAAGTGTTGGTTTGTAGGGATTTGATTGGTTTCAGGATTTCATCATGAGCTGACATTAGTTAGAGAACCATTGGAAAACCTGGGAGTACTGGACAGCTGTTTCGTCCTATTTTGGGACTCTTCAGCAGTACGCACCCACCGGGATTCGAACCCAGGACCTTCCGGTTACAAGGCGAGCTCGTATACCATTAAGCCACTGGCACCCAGCTGGTCGGGTGTGAGGACAAATACTCGCCGAAGACATTGGCTAGCGGTCGCGCTATGTCGTGAATTGGCAGAAGTTAGAATTCAAGGACCATTGGATCGGGTCCCAGTGGCTTAATGGTATACGAGCTCGCCTTGTAACCGGAAGGTCCTGGGTTCGAATCCCGGTGGGTGCGTACTGCTGAAGAGTCCCAAAATAGGACGAAACAGCTGTCCAGTACTCCCAGGTTTTCCAATGGTTCTCTAACTAATGTCAGCTCATGATGAAATCCTGAAACCAATCAAATCCCTACAAACCAACACTTGAATGATGTTATCGAAAAGAATATTCTTTATTCAACAATCAACCTTTTGAAGTTTCAAAATGGTTATCTTTAATCATTGAAAATAATGCAAAGTCCAAAGGACATGTACTACTGCTGTATGAAGATGGTTCCTCAGTTGTCCTATGTAGGATTCTTATTGAGGCTAGAATTAAGGTGTCATTTAATAAACCAGCCAAATATTATCAGAGGTAAACTTTGTCAGCTTCAGGCTCCGATAGGTCCGATTAAGAAAATTAATATAATTTACCAAATAACATGTGACTGACTGACTGACTGACTGATTGATTGATTTCAACATATAACTCTACAAAGATCTGCGTCGGTGGCACAGTGGTTAGGACTCTCGCCGACCATGCACATGGTCCGAGGTTCGATCCCCTGCTGACGCACACATGATATCTATGGTCGGCCTGCAAAATTTGGGCTACCGATATCCATGCTGAAAACTCCACACTACTACTACTACTACTACTAATAATAATAATAATAATAACGTATACAACAATAGAGATGCAGAAGAAAAAGACGAGGGAGAGGAAATGACTATC